GGGGGGGCGGGGGCGCCAAAACTAAGGCACTTGCCAGGGGGGTGCTGCACCTCCGAGAGGGATTGTTGTCTCGTGACTGACTCCGGGGGGAACGAAAGCACGGGCGGCATCTTTCGACAGCTGTTGGAACATTTCCGGTTGTGTGTCCGACCCTATTCTAAATGCAAACAAATGCGCTTGTCGGCGCTCTCTTCACGTCTCCTATCACACGTGGGAAAAACCGGCCGGGGCGAGCAGCTGAACATGGCGGTGGTGTCATATGATGCATACTCCGTTTTCCCATCCCTGACGCCCCACCGCTTGCCGCCCTGATGGGCTGCCAAACCAGCCACATCAAAACAAGGCACAACGGGAGAAGAACGTGGTGTAGACTCATGCAACGGTAGGGGTGCACGAATCCCTTCTGAGTCTCAAACGAGAGAAGCTCCATATCTCAGCCTGAAATGGACATTGACACAACATGAAAATATGACGTGACAGGTAATCCGATGGGCTAGATGAAACACCATTGAAATTTGAAATCGGAGTTGATATTCGAAGGTTATTGGTTGGTTATTCATCTGAATAACCGAAGGTTTTGGGCCGTAATGTGCTATCCCTACCCAAGGTTTTGGGCCGTAAGGAGGTGCAGCGAGGGAGGCACAAGGGCCTTGGGGAAAAGGAACAGGGGAGGCGCCTGCTTCACCTTCTGCTGCAGGAAGTGCGGCAGAAGGTGAAGGAGGCGCCCCCCTCCTTTTCTTTTCCCCAAGGCTCTAAATCCCCCCTCGCATTACCTCCGTCTTCACCGCCTTCTTTTCGCGTTTTACCGTGTGTTGGAAGCAGCTGGTTTGGAAGCTCAATAGGGCGGAAGCTGGTGGGGCGTCACGGCTAGGAAACCGGGTATACATACATACATACAAGGGCGCTTCGCGGCGTACCGCTTCGCGGTCGCCGCTACGCTCGTAGGTTCAATGGCGATGGCAAGTGTGTGCGGGTGGAGTTTTGAAATGAGAGCTACGAAGAAAGAAATGCTGCGAAGAGGGAAAAATTTGTTTGTTCGAAGAGCAGAGACGCACAATGACTATATTCATATGTTGTGTTACGCGACGGCCGGAGGACAGAGTATTTAATTGCTCGGAGTAAGAAGTTTGTTTTTCAGAAACAAAGGCTCACTTTCCACGAAAAAAGTAGGACAATAGGGTTGGTTACGTAACATAATAATAGCTCCACCTGGGCCACACCTATAGAGAAGAAACGTCTCAATAAGAAAACAGAGGAGCGACCCCTAAAATGCTCTACTATTCAAAGACACGAGAGGGGTTACTGGGGTGTGTGTAGAGTAATTAAACTAAGAAAGAAACATCAAGCAACCAGCTTTCCTTTTCTGTCTCTTCCCCCCCTCTCTCCCATCCATGTGCTACCCACCCCCTCAGCGAGACGTTGTAGCTGAATAAAGTTGGCTACTTCTCGGGTGTGCGGTCTTCGTATGTGATCTGATGTACAGCCGTCGGTGATGAGAATCGGGGTTGAGTACGGGAGGCGAGGAAAAGCAGCAGTAGCGCAAATAAATCAATACGTATGCATACCGTAGTTTTTTTAATTTTTGCAGCACGAAACCACAGAAAAGCAGACAATTTTTTCTTCCGATTTATGAAAATATGGAAACCCACAGCAGCAGTAGTCTAGTATTTCTATATGTTCTGCTAGAGGGTTTTGGGAGTCAGATGACTGTAGAAGTTCGTGTGTTGGTGTGTGTTGGTGGGTGGGATGCGGAGCATGTCCCGGTAGCCGCTCTACAATAAAGTGCGGTAGGTATCCAGCAGATATTTCCGGGAAAAAAAAAGAAGTATTTCCATGAAACGGAGGAACAAACAACGTATTTCATTTTTTTTTTTTCTCGGGCGGGTGTAGTTTTGCAGACAGCTGTGCGCACGACACTGGCCGCTAACCCCCCCGCCTTTCGCCTGGATCAAAAGGGAGACGCACTACAGCAGTAGAGTACTTTGTCTCGTCTAAAGGGAGACTTGGTGGCTTGGTTGTCGTGTGTGGCAGGGTGTGTGGTGTGTAGCCAGCGCACACGCACAATCCACGTCAGCCGCTTGCCGAATGTATGTATGAGTGGCCTGCACTGTCAAGAAATCGGGGTGTGATTGGTGGATCCATGGTAGATGTCGGAGACGCGACTTTCTGCCCTCGCTAGCGCTGCACGCAGTCCGCCCCGAGAGCGCGCGGCACGCCGGGAGGGCCCTCGCAACACAGGGCTATCGGTAGGTGCAAGTCTCGTTTCGAGGCGAGGTCAACGGGCGGAGAAACCTCGAAAAAAAGGGCTCTAGGCTCACGAGATCATCAGGATTGCCTTTCCTGCGATCTCATGAGCCCTCAGCCCGTAGGAAATCCGTCTATAGGTCTATATACATTACGAAGTACATGCATCTAGAGCCGTTATCAGTAGACCGACATCAAGCACTCCACGAGCCGAACGGTTCGCCCACCTCCTCCTGATTGTCCTCTCCTGTCCTGCTACACATGTTCTTCGCGCGAGTTTTGCCAACACAACGCTTGTACCACTCGGGATACATCCTACACCCGCCCTGGCGATACGCTGCCAATCCTGAAAGCCGCAACACTATCTCGCGCAGGTTTCCGCGTTGGGCAGGCACCGGTGGGCGACACCCTTACACGCTTTGCGATAAATTTCGGGGGGGGGGGGACGAGGACTGCCGTGCGGTGGTGATGCAGAAATGATGCCGCATGCAGGTTATCGAAAACAATAAATATAACCCTTGAATCGGCAGCACTATCGCCGCCCCTCACAACAGCAGACATACAGCTCAGAACACCAACCTGTAGCTGAAGCCGTCGAGGCACGGAGGGTCTGTGATCAGTGCCCATGGTGCCGCCAGGTGGGTGAGGCCCTGAGATCAAAGCGTGAATGTGGGTGGTGTGTGTCGAAACGTGAGAAACGAACACCCACCAGCAGCAGCAGCAGCAGCAGCAGCAACCACAGCGCACTTGCATTTCGCCCGGGCAAAAATTGGACATTTTATTGCTCAAGGATAAACAACAAACTAGCGTAGAAAATCTGCGTTTGGGCCGTTTACTTAAGAATGTTTGTTTTAGTTCATGGTTTTCTTCTGTTTTGGACAAAATGCGCATCAGGGCCTCTTCTGTACAGCAGGACTAGATCTTCCGTTCTCTCCGGCCCCACCAAGCACTGGCCCACGGACACACCCCGCTTCCAGACCGTGGGTTGCGGGCAGCGTGCTACTACCGTCAGCCATGACAACCGTTGTTGGGGGTTGTGCTGACGGGCTGAACCTCTATCCAGAGTTCTCCCACCCTTCTCTTTCATGCCACTCTACAATATAAGCACGGCAAGGAAAACAAATTCGGGCCGCCACAGCCTTGACTAAACACAGCCGTCGAAACCAACAACAAGACTCAGAAAAAATTGTTCACGGAAAGTACAACGCCGCTTTGATCGTTGCTGACCTGAGAGTACCTCAAGCCCCTCTCCCTGCAGTACAGGGAGACGCTTCGCTGGAGCCACTGTCGCGCTTTCTCGTCGCCAAACACCGGTGAGTCCGTTCGCGTCCGCGTCACGTCCTGCGTCGTCAAAGAGACCAACAACCACAAGCAGCCTTAAACGAGATTGATGAAGGCAGTGTCGCGAGGCCGGTGCGCGGCGGGTGCGCTTGCCTTGCCTGTAGCCTAACCCTTGGAAACGATCTTGACTTCTCCCACACCAGCAACGGACAGAAAACCAAGCCCTGATCAAACCGAAGCGCGTTTGGGGTGCGCTCGAACGGGGCGCAAAAAGCCGCGCTTATGCAATCGACAAGCCAGCGGTGGTTGGAGAGCGTTGTCACAATTCTACGGAACCGCGGCAAAAAAATTGACGCAGTGGCGACAGCCTGGTTCCTCTCCCTCTCTCCCTCGCCGTCTCTTCGTAGAAAACATAGACACAATCGCAGAAAGGCTACCCGTTCGAGAAATAACCACAGTCGAAGGGAATGGGTTTTCATCTCCATCTACAGAAAAGGGGATTGCGACTGTCTTTCCTGCCCGAACCACGCTGGCTTTCAGGGTCTTCGTACGAGTCTAGACAGTTTCAATTGAGTAGGCAAAACGCGCCAGCCCGTTACCTTTTGGGCATGTACCTTCTACACGCGCGTTGCAACAACAGAAAGGGGGAATAGAAAACGAAAACAACAAACGAGGAAACCAACCGGGTGTTTACCTGAAGAATTGCCTGTTGTTCTTCCCGACTACCAACCAACGCCTCTGCCAGCTTGCGGTCCTGATGAAAACACGACGCCATTGACAATCACAGCAGTAGCAGCAGCAACAGCAGCAGCAGCAGCAGCAGCAGCAGCAGGGATGAGAGGCACAAACCATTCATCGGTGGACACAACAGCAGTACGACCGTGTCAACTGTCACCTTGATACCGCAGGCCCCACGGCTAACCAAACGATTCCTAACTTCGCAGTCATCCAGCAGTTGATCGATCTTCCCCTTGCGCCTCCTTTCATTCGCCTTCATGTGCGTGTGTGTGTTCGTGCGCTCCCGCAATGCCCAGCACGGGGATGCATTCAAAGCAGGGGCAGGAAATCATGCATCGCCCGTCGTTTACTGTGAAAAAATTAGAGTGTTCAAAGCAGGCTTGCCCGCTAGTGCAGTGTAACAACTGCCACAAGTTCGGGCACATTGACGCAGAGCTGCTGCGTACGAAGCTCTTTCTAGCAGTTGACGCATGACATGCATATCATGCTCGTCGTCCCACTGCTGGTCGTCACTCTGGTTTCCTTCCTCCTGATCGCAGTCCTCCTCGCCACTCCGTCGGGGTCATCGCCCCTTTCGTCCGCGTCGGCTTCCTCCTCCGGGGAAAGGAACCCCATACACAACAGCACAGTATTTAGTTACATTACTTGGTTTGAAGCCAAAGCGTACATATCGGACAGCACCGCTTTTCACGTTGCCGAGCCCAACAACCTCGGGCTTTCAGGAACACGTAGTCCTATCTTGAGATGACACGAGGTAGATTAGCCGAACGTCGTGACATACATACGTGTTGTAGGATACAGACCACCGGTGATCCTAGCATCCCATCGAGCCGGTGTGGGGGACGAAAGGTTCACAACGATTAGGGAAGACTAGAACGCATCCCGAGATGATCAGACCTGGAGAATCTCGTCATCCCTCCCCTCACGGGCATGATCGGACAGTAGCAGCAGCGAGCTCCAAGGCTCCACCATTATCCACCGAGACGGCGGGCATTCGGCTTCAGCAACAGGACTCCCATCATCTTGCTTTGGACCTCCTGCTGGTGTTACACCGGTACCCTGCTGTGGCTGGAGTATCATGTCCTCCTCGGCTACGGCGATATCCCCTTCCGCCTTGCTTCTCGACGGGGAGGAAGGAAAGGCTACTAACCTATCATTCAACATGGTGATAGCCAGTCGACAACACCAGCACCCGCTCTCCCGTGAGTGGGTCTGGGTCACGGGCACCCTGACGGGCACGCATTTACAACTGCTGGCTGTTCTCTTTGTGACGCAAGTTCTCATGCTCACCGGAACCGTCATGTATTGTGCCGCACACGGAATTTCCGTATATTGATGGGTTGTTATGTGGAACGAACGCACGAGCGACACGTTTCCCCGGAGTGCGTTGGGTCGCAGTTCTGGCCATGGAGGGATCCAAGAACTCCACACACTCTCACGCATGGATTCAACAAAAGAAACAGCCGCGTACCGCGTACAGAGAGACCGCCTCATGCTTCGCTCGTGTTGCCGGGAAAAAATGGATGATGATTGATGCATGTACGGGTCGGTAGGCTGTGCCCTGGAAGATGGTCTTACAATAAAGCGAGTGGATGCAAAATATGCATATGCAACGAGAATACTAGCTTCCCTCGGCGCCTTCTCCCTCCGCCACCCACCAAGGGAAGGCGGCGAAGGGGTGCGACAGACGATCATTGGTCTTTGAGATGATCTATCCATGGTTGTGGCGGCATGCAAGAAGAGTTGCAAAAGTAGACTTAAGGAATAATAACTACAATAGTCATGCACAGCAAGAGCGTGGGTTCCCACAAATATTATTGCAACCATTTCAGGTTGACCGCAAAATAGCGCGGTGAGGCGGGAGTGCGATCGCATCGGAGTTGTTGAACGCGTTGGTGAAAAGGATGCCCGAATGCGCGAAATTCAAAATCATCTGCAGCACCATCGGACTGCAAAAAGACACGAAAAACACTCTCCTCTCGGTATCTATCTGCTACCGTTCAACCATTACAACAGCAGTGTTCGCCCCGCAAAGCAAGACCTACCGGTAGAGAAGAAAAGTCTTTCGTGGGAATGATTGGACGCATCAATTTCGTCGCGGTCAACCCATCACACCGACTACAGTATCAGTAGGCTGCCAAATATCAACATCTCGTCATATATTAACTCTATCTGCATCATTTGAACTCGTGACACCTATCTATCTTCGTCTCTCTTCGCAGCAACAGGTGAACCATGTGCCAGAACGAGCGCAGCATTACAGCAGTAGTACCGGCCCGCTAGAAACTAAGCCTTAAAGTTTCCCCGAACATTCAACATTGGGGGTGAACACACAGCTCAGCGGCGGATAAGTTTCTTACCATAACGGGCCGATACAGTTGTAAGAACAACAAATCTGTCTGGCATCCGGTGGACTAAAAACATCAACACTCCCGGTCACCGGAATGATCTACTTCGCCTTCTATAATCCCGTGAAAACGTCGTCCCGAATGCAGGATGGTACATATCCATACCACAACACCACACCTAGGCAGCGTGCAAAACCTAGAAAAAACATCGCGGTAAAAATCGTCAAATCCTCAGCGTATCTTTGCTATTCATGCCTTTTAGAGACGGGATACGTACGTCTCATCTGGTCCGACGAGGGAAGAAGCACCGCCTTCGACGCGAAACAGGAGGGCATGCTTTGTCTCTCTTGCAGCCGTTCCGTGTTCACACGAAACGTCAACCAATGAGTGCAACCCCGCGTGTCTACGTGTAGAAAGGGAAGAAGTCGTTGATGCTGTTTACGTAGTAGTCAGGGTTGATCTTGTTCTCGGGGCTAAGCAGCTTCTCCTCGGTCGTTACGCCGCTGGATTGTGCAGCACAGGAAGAAGGCGGCGGGTGCAGATGGTGTGGGGGACAACGCATGGGTGAAACATGGATGTCGACGAGGCCACTGTACGGAGTTAAATGGCAACATTGGTGATATGTTGGCTTCGTGGGTCCGTCACAGCCGGAGTGAGAAAGGCAACAAAAAACGCGTGTGTGTACCGCGGTCACCGACCAACCTGAACGCAAATTTGCCATACACAATTTGGATTGCTGTCTTGATGTTACGTTTCCGGGACGACTTCGTATTTTTTCCTTGAGGCCATGCGTGGGTTGATGAGATTTGCTCTTGGGGGTCGTATCGTGTTGGCTGCAGGCACTCTCGCACCGGCATTATGTCGGGACATAACGCTTTGGGATTCCGCGATAAGCACTGCTGGGAACGCGGGGGTGGACTTGTACGTCTAGGCTTTCAACCATTCAACACGCCTGAATCTAGCGCAACGGAGTAGCATCGTTTCTGCTTCGGTTGATTGGCATTCCCGAAGAATTTTGGTACCACAGCGTGAAAGGAAAAGGCGAGCAAAAGGGTGCAGAACGCAACGCGTTGAAGTATAATACAACACACGCAGAAACTGCTCGAATATGAGCGTGATCCATGCATCCATGGTTGGACAACGACAACAGACCACAAGGCGATGAAGTACGACCAAGACACACGGCAAACCAAGGAAGCAGAAGCAGTCTCAAACTCACCGAAGACCAGGTGGCGGTGTTAGCACGACCTCCACAGACAGTGAATATCAAGAGCGAACATTGTTGTACGGCGAGACATAACGCAAAACCAAGGAAGGAAAACAAAACCTCAACGCCCGAAACCCACCTCAATGTGAGGATGCTCATCAGGCCATTGTTGGCTCCGAAAAGCACGTCGGTGTCCAAGCGGTCGCCGACCATGCAAATGCGCGACCTGTGAGTTGGAAAACACAAAGAGAAATTAAACAGACACACAAGACACAAGCGCGGGTTGTTGTTGGATTGCTGCTGCTGCTGACGTTGCAATAAATATCTAACTGTGTCGCCAAGCATGTCCAATACCGACCTGCCGGTCTGCAAAATCAGGACAAGGAATCATACACACACGAGCACTGTGGGCCAATTCCTGCGCCCCCCCCTGTCGGTACAACCCTTACCACTAGCAAGCGTGTTCGTTCGCGTTGTAGATCCCGCTATAAGACTGACGTCTTTTCATTGGTCAGCCGGCTTTAGCGCGGTCGACACTAAGTCAAAAACCACACCAACACCAACACGCACAAGCACAAATGTTGTTATTGTTGTTGTTGATGTTGTTGCACAGGCCACAACGGCTTATCTGTATTTCGGGGAGGGATCTCTCTGGGTGTGCATACCTACGATCATCGCGCAGGCTTTTCTGCAACCCAACACCTCCCTTTCAACCTTGAGCCCAACCAAGGGAGGGGGAGGACATCAGACTGTCGCACAGGAGTCGCACTGGGTCGAACGACTGAAACGATCACTGCTGCTGTGACAAAGAACATCACGGCTGTAGGGTAAAAACCTTGGTATCTGTTCTCATGGTCATGTAGGGTTTCCGCGGGAAGCGGGTCGAGAGTCTTCCCATTTGCCACAAAACAAGCCAAGAACATATGTATGAGTTCTGGTCTCATACCTCTAGTTGTGTAACGCCCCATAAGCAGCAGGACACTGCCCTAACCCGCATGTGCTGAGGACAACACATCAATGTAAGTTGACCACGATCAACGTAAGTTGATCATCAACACAAATCGACCATCAGGAGTTGACCACGATCAACATAAGTCGACCATCAGGAACACACAGGCGATTTCGCGCAACACTCACGCGGTTTAGCCTACCTCTCAACGTTGTACTTCTGGATGATGTAGTCGATCATGAGGGGACCAGGCTTGCCCACGATCGTCGGCTCCACCCCGGTGCACCCCTTGATTGCTCCGACCATCGCGCCGTTCCCAGCCCACTCCTGCCAGGATTGGGGTGAGTCGATTATTGTGCACGCTCAGCGCCGTAGAAATAGACCGGGGGAATGCGTACGCTGGGGTGAAGGGACCGCGGCACACATACTGCAGTAAAATTATAGGTATGGAAAATAATATCCTGGACAAGAAACAAATGATTGGGTGTGTGTGATGAGCGATAAGAAACCCTGTTTTGCGCAGCCCTCGCTCCATATTTGATCAGTCGGGAATCGACGGGGAAAACAGATCCGTGGTGTGGGTAGGCCACAAGTAGTGTGAAACCCAACCCTCAATTTCTCAACTACAAATTTCTCAGATGCGTGGTGACGGGGTCTGTTTATCGAACCCCCTGCAGTCGTCGAGCGCAAACGAGCGTGGAGGAAACATGGCCGCGCATTGTGACTCCTACTCTGCGCGAGAAGCGACGGACACACTCGCAGCGATGCTTGCTTCTCCTCAAAAAGCCAATAAATAGCACACTGGTGCGCAAGTTGACGTGTCGCTCGGCCTATAACCTGAGAAAAACAGCTAAGAGAGGAAAGGGTAAACGAAACAACAAATATTCACTCGCCTCGTATGTAGCAGCTACCCTCCTTCACAACACGCCAAAAAATGTACATCCGGACAGGCCTTGGACTTTCCGCTGAGTCTATCATGCACCCTCATATTCCCACGGACAAATAGCTTTTCCATTCCTGCACATGTCAACAACATATTCTCGCTGTGGTTGCGCGGACAACATTTTCTGATAAAGATGGGACACAAACTGCTGCGTGTCCATACGAACGAACCTGCGCGTCGGTGAGGTGGGTGACCGCGTCCGTGTTGGTGGCGATAAACTCGCACCCGGGGTTCTCGTTGATGCACAGCTGGGCGTATTGAATCTTGTAATAGTTGATCATCCTGTCGAACCCGACGACCACGGCTATTACAAAAAAAGAAAAAGAAAAAGAAAAAAAAGAAAGAAAAACGAGGGGGGCAAACAGGGCCGAAAAAAACCGCAAAAAAAAAGGACGACGTTAGAAGATCAAGAGGTCATTGGTTTCTGTGTGTTTTTAGGATCCGCTACATATATCACCGTCCTCCCGCAATCCTCTACCGGACGGTCTTGCCTCCTCTACTGACGGGGAGAAAATTCGAAAATTCCGCGCTACACGGAAGACTGCCCTGGCGGTGCTCGCCTTCTCAAGCTAGCTGCAGAGGTGTGAAAGGTGTGGCAGGTTTAGGTCATCCCTCCGGGAGTGGAGAGGCGGTTGAAAGGTAGTCCATGTCACAAGTATTGGAAAATATACATAGCATCACAGAAATTCCTTTGTTCTCTTATTAGTTGTTCCCTTTCCTGTGCCCCTTGGGGGCTGTAGATAGACGGGACGGAGCCCGTTGCGATGCATGCGCGAGGCCGCACGTAGCCCTGGAGAACTTGCTGAAAAAATATGAAATATTGGTATGGATATAGATAGACGGTACCTGACAACACCATCAACCGGGCAAGATCCATCCCAGCTAAAAAAACAAGAGTGTCGACATGATATAATGAAGTACGCAACACACGAAAAAGGCAGGCGACGCGGGCAACTCCGGCCGATTCATACCTCCAACGTTTTCGTCGTGCGGGAGGGCGAAGCCCGGCTTGAGCTCGACCCCCTTACTCCCGTCCTGCGTGGGCACGAAAAAAACATTCCATGTTCAGGGAACGGTGTGTGTTTGATTAGTTTCAAGTGCTTTTGAGTCTGGGGAAGACACGCCAGTAAACCGTTTAGTTTATTTAGGGAAATTGTTATTTTCTTCGAAATGTGGCCGAACTCCAATGTAGCTCTACATTCATGCCTCTACCCGTACAGCAGTGGTCTACGTCCCTCCGCTAAAGAGTCTCCTGATTAGAGCTCCGATCGGCGGTGCTTGACACCTAAGAACTCCGTCCACGATGCACGCCGTGATTCCTATCCTAGAGATTACAGGGCGCCCCCAGCTCCGATCCGGGGTGCAAAGCACGCAAAGTTTCTGTCTGCAATGCATGCCTCGAGTCCTGTCGTAAACCTTACAGCGAGTGCTCCCAGCTCCGATTCGGGGCGTCAAGACACGTGGGAACTCCGTCTGCGATGTATGCCTGAGTCCTGTCCTACAAGCTTCAGCTTACCGAGGGTCCCCCGAAGTGAGGCACGCCGATGAGGTCTAGCTCCTCCTCGATGCCCACTTCACCCACGATGTACACCTTGGACGCAAGGTACGAAACAAAAAAACAAAAGAAACGAAAAACCCAAGGATTTGTTGGTGTGACAGTCGGGGCCACGAAGTCGTAGGGTGTTCGGGATTCGCAAGAGACCGGCAACCAATGGGACGACGAGAGGATGCATGGCGAACCTGCACGTGCTTGTCCTCCAACACCAGGGGTGTGTGATGGGCAACGACATGACGAGCACATTGTCACTGCGGGCGAGGTTGCTGAAAAAAGTACATTCGGCGCAAACGAAGAAGCAGCGAACGAGGCTCACAGCAGCGACAAAACTCGTCAGCAACAGCACCGACTGCAGTAGCTATAGCATCAGCAACGACGACAGCGACAACAACGCCAGCGGACACTTGCAACCCACCGCCACATCTCCTGTGCACCTAACCCGACCCTGCACTTTCGCGCTCACGTCCTGTCCATACTTCACTGATACTCTGGCACCGCCGTGTACCTGCGCCTTAATCTTTGCACCATCCATCTCTGTCTGCTTCTAGTCAACCGACATTCTTCCTGCGAACGCACAGCTTTTCACGAGCTGCAAAACGACCCCGATTCATCCAATTGGGTACCCGATGCTTCGGAACACCACCAGTTGCTCGATTTGCAAGCCCCGTTCGCTGCGCTTGGCCGGTACACTGCAACCCCGGCCGCGCCGACAACGGTGGCAAAAAAGATCGGCAAACCCAGCCAAGAAAAAGATAGGTCCTACCTTTTTCCCGGTGTCCTTAAATCTCGTCTGTTCTAGGTATGCCGCGGCCGCAAAACTCGATGAGAAAATCTCCTCAGGCTCCACGCTCTGCGGAAAGGGAGGTCGGCGGATAAGAATTGTGTACAGGGGAGGGCGTGGGGGGTGGCGAAGCAACAAAAAAATGTCAAAGAAACGGGGGCGGAACGGACAAACTGGAGATTAAGTGGGGGCGCGAGGTCGTGCCCATGCCAATATCCAGCCAATATCCGAGGTTGTTCACCTCCGGACAAGCGGCATAGGTTTCACAATATAATCTATGCATACTATAGCAGTAGGTCCGTTCAATGCACTCTTAACGACTCCACCGGAAAGACTCACGTTCGACCAAATACTACATACACCTTTTTTTCGGAGATTTTGGCAGAGAAAGGAAAAAGGTTCGAGGAAGGTTTTCTGGTCGACAGCAAGACAACCTGGACCAAGACAAAAGGAAAAACATGTTCAAAAAGAAAAGAGAGGAACAGAAGAGAGAAAGAAAAGAAAAGACACAGAAGCGAAAAAATCAACGAACACAGGAAAGAACATCGACAAGAAAAAAGAAACAAAAAGAACCGCGCTCACCAACCCGAGGGAGTCGAACTTGGACTTGTATCCCTTGCGGCTCTTGGTAGAGTTGTTCGTCACGAAGAATATCCTGCGGCGCCGCCAAGCGTTTTTCGAGGGGGGGGGTCGGGGAAGGGAACGCAAACAACCAAACCCGCATCAGTGTACCACAAAAACACAAAAAAACTTAACATTTCGGGCTAGGTTATTGCCTCCCCCAAAGTAATTTTTGCCCGGGGTATTTGTTACTGCAACCTTTTTTTCGAAAATGCAACAGAGTCGACCACACTTTTTTCGAAACTTTGCTCAAAACGCTGTTATTTTGCTTCTCATAAACATGGAGCATATTCACTTCTCACCGTGCGTTTGAACTAACTCATGGGCTAGATGGCCTACAAGTGTCGTACATATGTAACCCTCTCCCAAAACACGCGCGTTTTACCAAGTGGACCGGCCCAACAACCACACGATCTCTGCTCGCTCTCCCAGCCAAGCAACCCGCCATCTGTTACCCTTAACGAGAGCCTCACCGTTTTCCAGCCTGTCGTAGACGGTCAAGGACGGACGGTACGCCTTCGATGAGGCTGTCGCCCTTCCAGATCACGCCGTCACAGTCGAAGATGAAGACGTCGGTCTGCGAACAGCCGGCACGAGGAAAGCATATTTTAACACGCGGGCGAATGGGTGCAGCAGGTTGAGAACCAAGAGGGATTTTCGTGATGCACGAGGGACTCCCTCACTCACTCCACTGCCGGCGCTGCTAGGGAACAAACAGGCCGACGCACCCCGGCAGAGGGCAGAGCAGGGCAACATCAACGTTTTCGTTCTGTTCTGAACGATGGACATGTTAGAACCACGCTACGGGGCACTTTGTGGCATGTCCACAACAACACCCTGATGAGGGATTCTTTGTCTACTGCGGCGGCTAGCCAGTGGTCTGCTACACGTACTGTGATCGAGTCACGGCATAGAGAGCCATGCCCACACGGTACGCAGAGACTGAGCGACAGCCTGAACTGCCAGCGACAGCCACTATTCGAGATGGAAAATACGCAACGTACCTGCGTGCCTAGCAAAGGACTATGTCGCGTTTAAACTTGCGATGTTCCTTTCTTCTACCCAAACGTCGGATCGAACGGGAGAATCGGAACCTCACTGCCCCCTGCTGCGTCTACAAGCTGGCATGACCGGCCAGCTCCTGCGGCCGCTGGCAAGGTACCTTGTCCATCATTTGTCCAATGGGGTCGCCGAGGCGCTGGGAGTTGGCCATGCGCATCGTCCTTGAGACCGGCCTGGCCTTGGAGGCCAGCACCGCGCCGCGCAAACCTTACGTCCCCCCGCCCAAGAAACGATCCAGGCACCATCATTCCGGTTCAACGGCGCAATTTGACGGCGTCCGATGTTACATCCGAAACGCACATCATGCATACGGTAGGACGAGCGCGCAAGCGAGAGTGAGGGGCCGGTAGAGTCAAGAAACACGCACGGCCTTTATTCGCTTGTCCCTACGTGAAGGGCGTACGTGGGCGCCGCAAGCCGTTGAAAAGCCGCAGTTTTGTCGGGCCCTACGCTCACGAGAATATTAAGGGAACCAGCCAGCGCACGGGCACGGGATAAAGGCCGCACTAGGAGGCCGTTGTTTGGGTCGGGCTTGCCTGGCTATCCCCGGCAGGGGCCTCGCGAAGCTCATCCATTAGACATCAATACACCGCTTGCGCTCTGCCTAGTGTAAGCTAAGTGTTGCGCCCTACTGGAAAAAATCGCCGCGTTGTTGGGTTACGGCCAGATGTAACATGGCCTCAGGAGCGTGTTCCGCGTTGAAACTTCGGTTATCATGCCCTACTGCTGTACCCCTTGCTCAAGGACGACAATCCCTACGTAGCGCATACCTTTAACGGGTTCTACATCTTGCATTACACTCTAAGCGCCTGAAACTCGGTTGGTGTTCTTGCACAACTTGAACTACAACGCACATCTGGAGGTAGACTAATGGCAGTTTTGGGAGGTCTCATTGCGTGCAGGTCGAGCCTACCCTGTGGCTGACGCCCTTGTACATATCAGATTGTGGGCGTTCTACGGCGACTTTGCAGACCTATTTGCATCGCCGAGGTGGCGACCCCAAATTACGCACACTATTGTATCTCTTCGTTCTGATTCTTTCGACTCTACTGTTTGTGGTGGAGCATACCCCGAATTGGGAGAGCTTATCGAACGTGTAACCTTGGCGTGAAAGTTGTCTCTTTAGGTCCGAAAAAATTGCCACGGAAAAAACAAAAACAGCCTGTTTCCCGTTAAAAAAACAGAGCCGGAAGAATATAAACAGCAAAAGAATGGAGCTTGGCTTGCTTGAGACCCCCCTCTACTTTCGTCATGAACCGCGTGCTCTGCGTGGGGGCACGCCGTGAGTTCCCAACTAGGCTTTCTGGGTTAAATTCAGGCACATGATTGACTTGGAGAAATAGTCTGCCAAGAGGATGGGGATCTTCTCTGTTCCTCTCTCTGTAAAAAGTAGCACGCGTGTACTTGTGTTCCCGTCCCCCCTCTCTCTCTATGTATCCTCTTGTAGTATCTGTTGCTGCCGCACGCTAAGTCTTTGCCCAACCTTACACGGCGCGTGTGCGGCAAGTTCAGCCGTTGCCAAAAACAACACGGCGCGTGTGATACATGTAGACGGTTCTCGCGCCCGCGAGCTGTCTGCCGGTCGGTGATACATTTCTGAGTTTTGAAGGTTTCAGGAAACCAAGCCGAAAAGGAAAAAAGAGCGCCGACCAGGAACCAGGGTGCGCTAACTGACCGTCGATTGCAGGCGTCTAATGCTAGTAGCAGTGGGTACTGGCCTACCACAGTAACACCGCACGCGCTTAGCTTCATCGCAGCAGCGCTGCAGCAGTTCAGATATTACTGACCGATACAGCGTACCTGTTCCCAGCACAAAATACCCATCGGCGTCTACGAAAGGTCACGACATGCGACCTACACCAGAAAATGATCCCTGCTACAGCAGTAGTACTTCAATACGCGTGCGACGGTGAGATGGATATGGGATACAGTATTTTAGAAGTATGGCGTGGTGGTGGTGTTGTGATGGTGTTGTTAGCGGTGAGTGTGGTCAAGAACGGATGAGAGACCCAATCGATGAGAATTTCCTGTATGTAGTGGTGCCAGCCAAACTCTCAATCATTCAAGACCGACCACCGACCAAGCCGAGAAAGAGACCCAATCGATGAGACGTTTCCCGTAATGGTGCCAGCCAAACTCTTCTCAGGCCAAGGTCTTGTTCTTGTCGACCGGCCTCAGGTTGGTGTCTAGTCTATATACCCTCGTCGGCGTAAACTCACCAAGTCGGTCTGCGCCAACACGCGAATGTAGTCTACATGTTTGACCAGCGAGCGACCGCTATACCCGCTAGTCGTTTGGCCAGCCATGTACAGCACTACTCTATTACTGCACTGGACCCCTTGCTTAGCCCGTGCAAACAAAGCCGCCGGTCGTTTGGCCAGCGATGTACAGCAGTACTGCAGTATTGCTGCACTGGGCTCCAACAAGCAGGTACACAGCAGACAGACAATATTGCACCCGTATCAAGCGCGAATCTCAACATCTCACGACTCGAAACATGCACACCAGGTCGTCTACACCTATAGACAAAGTGACTCACAGAGGCACACACAGAAATACGCATTCACGGCCATCGTCTCAGCTACACAGCATAGCTACAAGGCTCCCGCTGTTGTGACACTGCCTTGCTGCGCACACGCTTTGATCATGAGCAATGAGATGCGGCGAGATTTTGGCTCACGCACGAAAAACACCGCGCACACCTTGTCGAGCCCCGGAGAAGATACCGGAGGAGCCCCCCGCAAAGCGCGCCACGGAGGGCGCGGCAGACGCAACAAAAGCCCTCACGGGGGCAGCGGACGCCGCCAACATGTGGATTGCGCTCAGCCTCATCGGGTACACGCTGGAGAAGGAGAGATGAAGGCAGTACCTACCAACACTGCCGAGAGGTTTGTCACTTATCACAAGATGGGGGGTACGCACGTGGTAGGCTACATTACGAGGGGCAGGGCAAGAAGACGCCGCCTTTAGTTGTCCGGTGTGTGTCCTCTGGTGTGTCATGTTATCATGAGCTCCGGGATAGAGAGAAAGAGAGAGCTCCTGTCTACCCTGCCCAAGTTCGCGTGTGACCCTTGTTCAGAGGACTGCATCACAGACGAGGAAATAGTGGTTGATGCCATCGCCATCAAGAGGTGCACCACGCAAGCAAGGTATGCATACATACATGCATACCGTATATGACACAAGATAACACACCCCCTTGACCGATTTTCAAAGCTCGATTTCTCAACAGCAGGAAGAGTCACAGCGCCGAAAACGGCGGCGTTGGAACCGTCTCGTCGAGAGCTGTTCGAAAACGTATTGTTTCATTTATTCATCCTCTTCGTCGTGGAGTAATCGAGCTTTGAAAATCGGTCCAGGGGGTGTGTTATCTTGTGTCATATACGGTACCTGGGTTGACTCCAAAAAGGCGGAGTTCTGTCTCGAACGCGGGACTTCGCTATCTACTCAAGGTAGATATGGATGCCTACAATAGTACAATCGTTATGCATGTGTAGGACGATTTCGTGGCAAATACAGTAGTAGTACTGCTGTTGTCCCTTTGCAACAATGTGGGGTCACTCTAGCCTTTGTTTTTTTCGCGTGGACGGAGAGGGAGGTACCTGCCGTGACAACAACAGCTAGCTGATGTGAACGGCGATGTGTCTCGCTCCCGCGAAGGCGCGGTCTCGTGATGCAATAAAAACGTGCAGAGGTGGCGGTGCAACAACCTATGTAAGGCACACGGAATCAAGGTCGCTTGGTTACTTCAGTAATCTTTTTCTGAATCTGGAAAACAAAAAACTTTGTATCCAGGCCGTAGTACTCTCAAAAGAAGGGGTAAATTCTGTCAGAAATCAATGTAACAGACCAACACCATCCCACAAAATCCGATGAAGAGCCGAGAAGAGCGGGTAGAATACATACGCAACTTGAGCGATCCCTGTTCGAATCCCAGACGTGCGGTTTCTGCTTTTTATGCCCCGACTCCTTTCATTATCTTTTTGTCCGCTCTAAACACAAATTGCCCTGCTCACGCAGGGCTGCCTCCAATCCGAGGTGGTCCGCTGTCCTTTGAAAGTGCGTGCGTGCGTGGTCGCTTAAGACGAAGTGTTCTCCAAATCAAACGGCAAAAGACTCCTTGCGTTGCGCGAACAGTCTGCGCGCGGCTTTTTTGCCGAGTTTTTTTGCCATACAAATTATTTACTTGTGGAATTTGCGGGAATCTATTTAGTGGTCATCGTGCTTCTCAGCACTTTGCACACCCACCCACTTGTTGAAAAACGGACCCGGGCCGGTACATGGATGTGTAGGGATGAAGAGATATATTTTCTCTCGACTGCTGTGGATAGCCTGATGACAGCAGCCACAACAGCACCAGCCTTGAGGTGGTTGTTGGGTCGCCGCGTGTCGTGCGAGTCTTTCGTTGTTTCGTCACGGGCCGATGGAACTGAGGCATGCTGACAGCAGAAATGTGCTGCTTGGACGAAAAGCGCCTATTCCGAATGCGTAAGCATGTGACGAAGGCAGAAAATTACCAGGCCTTACCGTAGTACTGCTGAAGAGTGCAAGAAAGGGAAGAAACATCATGTTTTAGAATGCAGACGGGATAAACGGGCCTCCGCTCCAAGTAAGAGAGATGCTCAACTTCTCACATCTTCTTGATAACGTTAGTCTCACACCTACTGTTTTGTACGTACATGCAACGCATAATTGCTTTCCACGCTACAGTACTAGCGGCACTGCACATCTTCGCAACACCCGTCTCTCGAGCCACATATGACATCTTTTACGAGACAAGCGTGTAACACGCAAAGCATGTCCTTGGTTTCCAACGCGATTGACACACCATCGCTGTTGCATCCATCGAGATGAAGACCCCCCTCGGAGAAAGCACTCAACTTTGTCCCAACACGCCTGGTAATGCCCACCCATCGTGCGCTAGCCTACCACTTACCGCCTCACCCCACCTCCCCAGCCTCCAGTTCCATTCGGCACGACAACCTCTCTGCAGGGTCACACAACAATCAACGTATTCATCACTCGTCGAGAGTTCCTACGACAAGGGGGGAGAGTCAAGTGCGCTATTTAGGCGCTACAACTCAACTTTTTCTTCGACCTTCGCGCGTCAAAACTATCCAACCGACTTTCCCCGCTCGATCATTGTGATCCGCGCGCGTACCCGCCCTTCCCCCACCGATGGGGGCGCCTTATCCTCACTGTCGTCCCCCCCCGGCATTGTGGCGCTCCGTTTGTACACGTTGGAAATAGTTCCGACAGAATGGCCTCCTTCTATTCTGAGCGCCCCCGTTCTCGTTTCCGCCGCCGCCGCCGCGACCGCCGCCTTCTGGATGACCGCTTGCCAAGTCTGTGGCGCCTTTTGGGGGCGGTTGGTCTTCTGCAGGCTCTGAGTGCTCTCCCAAGGCAGAGAAGAACTTGCGGTGGACGGGTTCTCCGTCGAAGCCGTGTCTGCTCCTCCTGCGGCGGCTGGAGCAGTCTCGCCCTTGGCTGGGGGGCCGTCCGGAAAAGATGCGCCCTGTCTTCTACTTCGGGTGCCCGATGGCGGCGTCAACGACGATAGCGAGGAGTCGGTATCCTCCCCTTCTCTTAAGAAGAGGTTGATCTTTTCCGCCGCAGGGCGGAAAAGGCATGATTGGGTGAGAGATGCGAGCGATGAGTCCGTGGACTCCCCGGAGCTTGGACGACGGGCATGGAGGTTGGGTGTACGCTTTTTTCTCTGCTGAAAATACGGGGAGCAAGCGGTGGCAAATCGCAATTCACATAAAACATGGGGAAGTGGGCACAAGGTTGGGGTGAGTGATTCGTACCGAAACAGCATTGGAACCTTTTCCGAACCGTCCGCAACAAGTAGTACTTGCAGGCCTGTGTTGGCCGGGTTGAGCAACTTGATAAAAAAAAATGAGACGAGACAGACAAACGGGCCTACGGTGAGATTTTCGTCCCATACACACTGGCGAGGCCCCAAGCTGGACATGTCGCCACATCTCCAACACAACAGCCCGGGACTAGCCTCAGAGTTGACTAAAACCCGCTTCTTCCCTACAACTCCGCCGCGATAACAAAAGGGGGGTGGGTGTGTACTGACTACAGAATCTGAACCCTTTGCAGGGGCCTCGGTGCGGGCTCGAAAGGCGGTACACAACCCCCCCCCCCTTGAAAGCAGCGCGAAAACGTGTGACACGCGTACCTGCCAGGCCCCGGCGAAGCTGCTTCCACCAGCCCACTCCACGCTGCCTGCCTGCGGCTCCTGGGGGGCACTATGTCCGTCAACGTGCTCGTCCCTGCCACCGTCACCGCCGCTGGCTGGAGAAGTCTTCGGGGACTGGGCCAAGCCTGTCCCAAAATATGTGCCCATCACTTGTCCCCAGCTTCTCGAGACTGGGAGTCGCGGTGGCGTCCATAAACTGCTTTCAGACGATTCTTCGATGCTTTCCGAGTCATGAAGCCCGAACTCGCCTGGGAGGGACAAGAAACGGACTCGCTTCGCGTAGCTTGCCTTCTTTATGATTGGAGAAGTGGACGGCCCGCGCCGAGCCGGGAGGACGCTGTCGCTGTCCGCTGCAACAAGAAAGGGAAGGGACCAATCAAGGACGGGGATTCGGCAAGCTTCAGCTTTTATTCTATCAAGAGCCACAGCGTTGTGACTTGCTCCCGTCTACAGAATGCCTGTGTACTTCAAGCCGCGTGTTCGCCCTTACCATACTCTGCCGCCGTAGTAGTGGACAGAGCAAGTCGCGGAAACGCCAACCGGTATGAAGAGAAAGGACGTAATATCCCATTCGCGGGGAAAGCGTCGCTCAATCGCTGAGACCTCGGGCAATATCCCATCAATGCAACGGTACCAAGACGTCCACAACGGCTAAGATGAACACCACTGACAAAAGTGTTTCAGACCGCGAAGATATCCAGGGGGTAGCAAGCAAACGAAAACATCCCTCAGCCGTCGAGAAAAGAACTTCTTGTAATGAAGGCGGACGCGAAACACCTGACAGGGCAGCTTACCCCAGTTCACACCGACGCGTGTACCGCGCTTCGCGCCCTTGCTAGAGTGCTTCGCGACCATCGCGCTTGTGAGGATACCCGTGCTCACTGGTGCGGTGGCGAATACGCGGATTGGCGACGGAGCCGACCGGCGGTTCGGTGTCGTAGGACGCTCTCCCTTCCTGCTTCCCTCGCGGTAGCCACGTCCTCCGAAGCCGCCCGTTTTGCTGCTGCCGTAGACCTGAACCACAGCAACACCGATGGTCTGTTCTTGGGGCTCCGTGGGATCGAGCGGGTTGTCGTTGGTGACGTCGTCGCGCAGGGGAGAGGGAAACCGCTCCGAGTCCGCGTCTTGCACCCCGGCGGCGTTTGCCGTGAGAGCCTCGTAAGCCTCGACTGGGGCTGGCCGAGCCCCGTTCGCTCCGTTCTCATCCAGGACGGATTTCGCTGCCGCCTTGGTGCGGGACGAAAACGGCGGCGGAAGTTTGGGGAAGCGGGCGATGGGAGGAAGAGACGAGACACGGCAGAAAATGGGGTGGGACGTTGAACCACTAATATTCTTGACATACCCAGAAAGGCCAGCATACTCCTTTGTATTATAAGCTCACAGTTTCGTCTGGCAGGGCTGTTTGCCTGGTTTTGAGATGCCAGAAGAAGTCACACAGCGTTCGTTCATACTGAACACATGATCTTCTGCGCCGAAGTGAAGCGGCCAGGCACCGGGCGGCGCAATACTTGCACGAGAAGATTTCCCGGCGTGCCACATTAGTAACGGCAACGTCCCGGAAAATCAGGGTCTAGAAGACATTGGTGCCTGCGCGCGCTTCCGAAAGCATGGAAGCTAGGTCTGCGTAGACGCTGGCTCATCGACGTGGAAAAACCCTTAATCCCCTCACCTCAATAGCTTCTCCCCAGTCGCGTGTTTGCTGCTGGTGAGCGCCATTCGGCGTTCGTGTGGCGCGGTCATGTGCGATCGCTGGGGACCCCCAGACCGCCGCGCCGGCTTCTCTCCCTCGCCCGTCCGGGCTTCGTCGGCCCGTACTGCCGGGGCGGTCGACGCTGGCGACCGTGGTTTTGGCGGCCGTGAGGTCAAGACCGTCTCCCGGCTGGACGGCTATCGCCATTCCACGATCGCCAGTCACTGAGCAATGCTGGGCCAAAGTCCCCAACCTATCGCCTCCCACGAGATGAGGTCGTGAAGACGTGATCGTAGCGCTTGCTGGTTGTCTCGCGGCGGTGGCTGTAGAGGCGAGACCGTCTCCCGGCTGGACGGCTATCGCCATTCCACCATCGCCAGTCACTGAGCAATGCTGGGCCAAAGTCCCCAACCTATCGCCTTCCACGAGATGAGGTCGTGAAGACGTGATCGTAGCGCTTGCTGGTTGTCTCGCGGCGGTGGCTGTAGAGGCGAGACCGTCTCCCGGCTGGACGGCTATCGCCATTCCACCATCGCCAGTCACTGAGCAATGCTGGGCCAAAGTCCCCAACCTATCGCCTTCCACGAGATGAGGTCGTGAAGACGTGATCGTAGCGCTTGCTGGTTGTCTCGCGGCGGTGGCTGTAGAGGCGGGAAGACATGGAACGGTGGCAGTTGTAGGACGTTCGTCGCTACTTCCGTTCTTGCAACGGGTCTGGGAGTCCAAAACCTTCTCCTGAACGGGAGACGGCCGTGACGCGACAGGGTCTTTGTTGCCTGAGGCGGCGGCACTCTCGTGAGATTTCCCCAATGCCACTGCTTCCTTCACCTCTACACCTTCCGCAATTTGACCCGGCAGACTCCGTTGTTGGTTGCGGTGGTTGCGACTGTCGTCAACGAAGAGGGGATTCATCTTGTGTTTCTGGGTCTGAGCTTTGGAGTGATCGCGGGTAAAGTCGCTTGCCGCGTTGTCGGAGCTAACGTCGGAATCCTTAAACCTGTCGGACAGGACGTGGAGGGAATCACCGGGGTTATGAGTCCGTTGTTTCGGACAAATGACAGTGAAAGGAAACACACGAGATGAGAATGGGGATGCGGCTGTAAGAAGGCGGGGGGGGATATCTCTACCGTATTGTAGTTGGCAGGGTTCGCAACCTTGTGTCGTGTAGCTCATTTGGTTTTACTGTTCGACATATGGGAACAATTTCGAGCCGTCCGAGCCATTCATGCCGTATTCTGTAGAGTCTTCGGAGTCACCCTGCGAACAACGTCGACGATCTGCACGATAGTTGCGGTCATCTGTAATATCGTCTTGGTGCGTAAATTGAACGACACAACTATTGATACCTATGGGGGCACAGCGGTGCTGGTGTTGCTCCGTTTCGCGGCGCGGTAACACTATAATACTGCATCATCCGCGAGTTTCGTTACTCGATACGGCACTCTGTATACATATGAGCTAGCACCACAAATTCACCTTCCTCAGGTTAACCTAGTATACCCCCCCCCTATTGTGTTGATCTCCTGGGTGACAAAAAAATGTGCCGAAAAGCTCCTTCCGAAAGAAGTTTCCAAGAACACGCAAATGGCTGAGTCGTTGGCTTCGGCGCCCTACTCGCTGTGAGCTATCCGGGCGCAGCATTCCCTTCCTTCCCATGTGGGAAAGCACGCTGGACCATACCACCTATGGAGCCTAATGCATCAAGGCAGATTTTGCGGTTTACTCACTCAGCGTACAGCTGCACCAGATCTTGGGCATAACTCTGCGAGAGGCGGTTCCCGCTTGTGTGGAGCGGTGATTTCTTCTCGCCTAATCCTGTGGACTGTAGAGTAAACGCGTCACCGAAGTGGGAAAATCGACACGTCGCCAGTAGTGAAAGGAGGAAACGAGGATGATGGTGGGCACTAGTAGAGGATTTCCCAAATCTTTCACATGTGAGACATGCCAATCGAAAAAACACAAGAGGATGAACATACACCATCCACCAAGACCATGTTGAATGGATCTGAAGCGGCCGCGAGGTTCACTGTAGCGGTTACCTTCAGTGGCAACCATACGAGCCATCATCATCTACGGCAGCAACGGCTCACATGCTTGTACATAACACACCCAAGCGCCCAACGGATCAAATGGTACCTACAATCTTTTGTATGGAGGACCCTGAAAAAGAGCCCCCTTTTCGCCCGGAGTTTCGTGGTACCCCGGCTGTTGGCGACGGAGAGTACCACACCATCTGGAGCGAATTTTGACGCTCGATACCTCGACAATAACCGGATTCTCATCTATCGAACGATGTGTCGTTTGGAAGCGCTCTTGACAACAGCCGTTCCATGCCACCCTTTTCCGACTCTTGCACGTTTGCTGCGGTGCCGACATGGAGCAACAAATACCAGCCCAGGGCGTGTGGTGTCTTGCATCGTGCAACCAACGATAGCATCGTCCGGTCATTTACCCTCCAGGATGCCAACCTTTCTGGGGACGTCAGTCCGAATAACCGCATCTCATCCACACAACAATCCGCACTTTCCCGAAAACGGTATCAACAACCCTGTCATTGTAGTAACCCTGACATTGTAAGTCGCAGAGACCCAGCAATTTCCTGCGTATCATGTTCGACTGCTCGTGTGAGTGTCGTTTTTGCTTTTCTGCTTACCTTTGCCATCAGGTGGGTCTCTGCATCACCGGTAGCGCCCACGACCCCTGTAGGCAAAGAATGCATTGCGGCAAGGGCGTCCGATGTAAGGGAGGAGTGTGTAGTAGCGAGCCCCGTCGAATACGTCGCCAGCTGAAGCTGGGCGGTCGTTTGTTTTTGGATGACTTCCGTTGCCGATTGTTGTGGAGGCGCTTCCCCGGCACTACTTCCTCGTTCTTCGTCCTACAGGCAGGTAAACACACGATTGGACGCACAGCGGGTTCACGAGATTACGGGAAGGGCTTGCTCAGCGCAACGGATGTTTTCTATGCCTATAGATCGTGGCAAGATGCTTGTCGCGTGTTATTCCTGTCTCGTGTCGAGGGAACAAATAGGATGAAACCATCCCCTTACCATGATTCGAATGAATACGTCTGTAGCGAGTTTTGGCAAAGGAGGAGGCGTTTTCGTGAAGCAGGGGGAACGAGATTTCGTGTTCTGATTGCATTATTCAAGTTGGCAGGTAACAAGAATATATGTAGGGGGTTGCCAGGATCGTGTCCCGCGAAGGGCTGGTTTTGAGAAAGGCGGCAACCGAATGATTCGTTTCTCATTTGATCGATCGTGGAGAGCCACGGTACATTGTGGTGTATTACACAGTGAAGGGAAAAAAACACACGACAGCAGTGTACTACATATCACCAGTTTTTGCATGCATAGTACACCCGTAACGTGTACGCTTGCACAAGATTCATGACACTCTGATGCACCATCGTGGAGCTCGGACATAATCTGCCCGAAGCGTCAAGGTGCTCGAGATTTCGTGATAGTGCGCGCCAGTCTAACACCGCTTGCGCCAAGCAACCTAGGCGTTCCTGGATGGAAACCATGCCCAGAACACGTAGCCGGCATCTCATGAGAGTGGCGCCAGAACTCCGAGCTTCATGTGTGCGCTACCCACCTCAATCACCATTGCTGTTCTAGACTTCTTGTTCCCTTGGCAACACCTCAAACAGAGTGTGCAGCACATCAGTGGAGCCAGAAGCCCCATCGCAATCCCCGCGAATGCCGCACTTCCTATTTCCATCATGACCAGGGCGAAACGAGAGAGCACACACAACCAACAGGTGGGGCAGAGCGAACCGGATGTTATCAAACAGCTGATGACACGATACCTCTTCATGTATCTCGTGCACAGATACTCTGGCTTTCAGCACAAACGTCCATCCTGCACTGCACAGCACGGTCGAAATCACCGCAGGAAGTTCGGCAGTGCAGGTTGCAACAAGAACATAAAGTCTATCGTAGGTGCTGATCTCGTGTCAGCCCCTACACCAATTCCGCCTGCCTTTGGCTACTTGTATCGCCATGGGCAAGACTGGCCAGGCCTTGAATCTCACCGGTAGTGGTCCCCCCGCCAATCTCATCCTGGTCCACGAGAAACTCGGGGTTGACAGTGATTGACACTTCAGATTCCGCCCCCTGGAAGTAGCGCAGGTTGTCGAAGGATAGGTTTTCTACATCCACGCCGAGCACGCTTGCTGCCGGGGAGAGAGTCTCCTATACAAGGAGGAGAAGGGGGCGGGGGTACGATCAACAACGAAGCCGTGGCAGTTTGCTCGCAATCGCGGGAGAAACGCTGGAGGCACCGGTGGTGGGTGTTCATGCGGCGGTGAAAGCACGAAACGGACAGCAGGTTACGCATGGCCAGAAAAGGAGGCCGTTCGTACGATGCCACGTGTGCCACCTTGGCAGCACGAGCGCTGACTGCGTCATCGCGACAGTTTTGTTCTTCCCAGCGCTGAGATGGTAAATATCACAGTTGCGATCACTTCATCACTGTAAGGCTGTGTCCTTGGTCTACCGGCAGCAAGAGCGCAAAGCTTACATGCACGGGCTCGACAAGCTAGAACGTCTCCCCTGATAGAATGCAGTACGGCATCTCTACCACGTTAATAAAAGTAGTGGTGGAACACTCGTCCCCTACCGCAGTACCATCCAATCTAGTTGATGATGGGCAAAGGTGTTTTGGCACCGTTCCTGCCACTCGAACCGAACTGTTCACTTTTTCGGTGTCCGAGCAGTACTCAACTCAGGATTCCGAAAGAGGCAATCAACAAAAATCGAGATGCTCCATCCAAAGGAGGCCATCCTACGACTCGCAGGACCAACCCATACCAGGAGCGCCATTTTATTGAACATCGCCGCGGCTTGCTGGGATCCTGTCATCCCCTGCCCGGTGGGTATCGCGAACGCTACAGCTTCGAACACAAGCAGGCGCCGGCGTGCCGGCCACCGCCGCGGTCGTGCTGCTTTCACTGTCTCGAGGGCCCGACGAGAATCGCTGCCGAGCTCGGACTCTCCCACGATGACCGAGCTAGAGCCTCCAGGGCAAAGAGTAAGCGCGCACACTGCCTGTGCGAGCAAGGGGGAAACGGACTGGTAACCGTACCATCTCTCATCGTGGAAGCGACAGGGACATGGACTCAAAAAAAGAGGAGACAACTAAGTAGGGGCGCACGTGACATATTGCGGCCGGCACACACTCACGGTAAGAGTAACACACGGGTAAACACCTGCCCAATACATCTCTCACCTCTTGAACGGCGACCTTTTCCCCGACCTCGTCAATCAAAGACATCGGCACACCCATCGCAGACAACGTCCCCTTCACCACCCCCGTTCCCAAGCCCCCCTCCAACCCGACCGCCATGGATGTCGGAGAACCGGTCGCGCTGGTGAAAAACTTTAGCTGCGAGGTAGGACCAGGTGTCGTGGTCAAGGGATACGAAGGCGATGGGCTACTGCCGCTGTCCTCGACGTAGCCGGCGTCGACAGAAGACACTTCGTCCTCTCCTGCGGCTGAGAGTTCGCGCGGCACCGAAGCTCGAGACTCCTCACCGTAGCAGGGCATATCTTCTATGGTAGAGCACTCCCGACCGCCCAGCAGGCACTCCAAGTATTCCATAATCAGATCCTCCGCCAAACAGGCCTGAGTCTGACCGCTCTCCCCCACGTTGCAGCAGTATGATGCCTCAAGAACTTTGCAGAAGCTGCGTCGTGGGTCCAAGAGACCTGAATAGCCTTGACATTCCGTCGCGAGCATCCCCCGCTCCAGTCCACCCCGACATGTCGAGCACTCCGCGTTGGCGTCGCAGGCCGTGGCTTCGCGGTGGCAGGATGTTCCCACTACGGACCCGTCGATGGCAGATGCCGGGAGGACTAACGCCAAAGCCAAGGCTGCAACGAAAGGAAGCTTGAGGGCTCCCGGTACCTGAGGTGTCATCTTTTCATTCGTCGTCCGCTCGGTTCTGCTTCACAATGACGGCCTTGGCCCTTCGTTCTCTTCTTCTTGCCACCCGCCTGGACGGATCGTGTCTACTGAGGCACATGCAGAGGCAAAGACGCGTCTAGCCATTGATTGTGTGCCAGGAGTGTATTTGTAGGCAGGCGGCAATCGGTCAATGTAGATGGACTCACATTTCGTTCAGTTTGCAATCAATCGAGAACCAGGACATCACAAACGTTGGCATCACCAGGGACCCATGTGACCTGCACTTTCCGATCATTTCTTCTCCCTGCAGTTTCGGCCACGCCAAGTCGGAATGGTCCGGGAACCTGTCAACAAAGAAACTACGCTACGGTAGGGCGGAGGCTTACGCAACTACACTCCAGTGAGAAAACGCTCTGGGGGGGGGTAAGACGAATTCGTCCGGACGCTTCATCGCAAAGATGTCCTCGTCGGGGTCGAGTTCATGATCGCCGTCGAGCTGTGACAGGGATTAGAGGTCGTTTCTTCGCCCGACTCAACCCTAGATCCCCGCTTTTCTTGTCATTGGGAGGTCTGTATCGTGCGAGTTTTTGTCTCCATTTCCTTTTATGGTCCACCAGATTAGCTCAACTTCGTACGATCTTTGTCTTGCTTCTTCAAGAATCTGGGGCTCCGATCCTTACGAGGTTGTTTCTTACGAGCGGGCCGGCACTGCGATGACCCTCCAGAGTTACTGTTTCACGTTTCTTGTCGAACTCGAAACACGTCATGGATTACGTATGTATATGGTCCCTATCCGACCATGCCCGGCCAACTCGGGCCTTCCCGGGGGTGACATATGTCGAAGGAGCAACAGCACGAGCAGGATTGCATATGATGGACTTCATGTTGCAGTTCTTTACAGAAGCGGCCCAGAACGCGCCCCCACGTCTTGTTTTGGCCCTCGGGCTCGTTTCTTATTTTCTCTGTGGGGTAACCTACATTGGCTATTTAGGAAATGTAGTGCAGCTTGACCGAGCACCAACATACTCATCATATGGTCTGTTTACTTTATTCTTGGGTTATTCGTTTATGATTGGCGCGTTTTGTAGTTGTCGTGGCAGCGGGAGGCCTTTTTTTTTGTTAACAAAAGAGAGAATGCGGGCTTTTCTTGCCGCATCTACGGCTTCCAACATTGGTTCGCGCGTAGCACTTCAAGAAAATAGATCCAGTCCAAGGAGATGTAAGCTTCAAACACACGAACCCCGGACCGGATGGGGGTTGATGCCTGGCGAGCTCCGGAAAGCTCGAAAGTATTCCAATTAGACAAGTCTCACCCCTGTGGAGGAACCGTGAAAAAATTTCACTACCACCAGAGTCAAGCCTAGAAATTACGAACGACACTTCATACCGTTGCGATCGTGTATTTTAGGTTATAGTCTTCAGAATCTTCAAATTGAATCCCTGTTGTCGCACTACATACACACTGTGATTGGGAGCTTTCCACAGTCTGTCCCGAACACCAATCTGAAAGTTCCGGGATCTTTTTTTTTTTTTCTTAATATGGGATCTTTCGATCTTTGTTTGGATAGTACAAAGAACTTTACACGAGGCTGCATTCCTCGTTGTTCTATAACCGCCATCGGAGGAATGGGTCCAACCTATCTTTCACAGAAGAAGATAATCCTGGCCATCCGCTTCGCCAGCCAGTGGCGGATCGTCGGACAAACGCATCTATCCGACATCCGACCGGGTAAAGGCATAGCGACATTCTCCCCGTTCTCCCGGGCATTTTCTCTTCGCAGCACCACCCCCGCCCATCAGTTCACAACCATCAACCGTTTTTCACAGCACCTCGCTCCTCTCTTCTCACCCTTGATCGAAGCGAATCGACAGCCCGAGTCTGTACCATCATGGCAGGCATCCTTTGACGCTCGTGTTGTGTGCTGTGATCAGTGAAAGAAAGTGCTCACGTGCGGTGTGTGTGTGTGAGCAGCTTGCACACACCAAAGAATCTCCTAAAAACCAAGATCGATGGCGTCATCTTCACCACGCTGCTGGCCTCGTTTGTTTCTACGGCCTCGAGGGCAACGCATGCGTGGTAGTTATCACCACATGTGTTGCCTGTACCACCATCAGTCAGTGCATACGGAAGCGACGGTGGTGGTGGACAGGGCAGGTGCTGCTGTGTACGAGACGCGCACCACCTGTCTTCAACTTGAAACAATTGATCTGATGGCTTCTTTGCTCACTCGCCAAACGACGTTCGTTCCTAACGTCCATTCACCCGACGGCCCGACCAATTATTAAATTTTACACACCATTCCCCCCCCCTGCTACTATTCTACTATTTGAGAACGTCGGCACTGGAAATAAATAAATATCAACAGACTCGACTAACGTATGCATACACCGAGCGTTTTTTTTGCTCTCAAACGACCCTACATACATATAGTTCCCCTTTATGCACACCACGCACCCATCATTCATTCCGCACCAAAGGACATCATCAGGAGACAGGAGGACAAACTGAGGAGATGGGAAGGGCAGCAGCGGCAAAACAATCAGTCAGCTGAAAACAATCAAGCCTGAGTCTGAGCGCCCGCCAACAATTCTTTGCCTTGTGTGCGTGTGTGCTACATGTGTACAGTCTACTACGGTCGTACGTGTACATCAGCATATATATGCATACAAACCGGCGCTGTACTGCTCAGCAGCTGTCTGAAAGCATAGATCTACAACAATTAATAGCGTAGGCACATACATACGTGCACCGCATTTATTTACACACACAGTCTAGATAATAATCTGTTTTCCCCATACAAAAAGTGGAACAAGGTTTCTCAGCACGCACGAAAAACATGGACATGAGGACAGAATAAGAAGATTGGAAGACTACAGTAGGCGTGTACTTGCTGTATGCAGTTCAGCCTAAATATATACAGTATTATTATTATTTTTTTTGTTCTTCACTTCAAATCAGCGCTCACAGCACTAGTGCCGTTGCTTCCAACCCGTGGTCACACAGAAGAGCATCTACCCTCCCCTCCTGCGGTACTTCGCCTTCAATTTTTAATGCGAGAAGAGTTCAGCACTCTCTTCCCTCTGTGTACACACGAACTAGCGCTATCCACTTGGCCAGGAGCAGAAGAAGCGAGAGAAAAACTCACTTTGCAAGAAAAGCTCGCCTACGCCGGGATTCGAACCCCCGACCTGACCTCTAGAAGGTTACGAGGCTACCAACTAGACCACCGGGGCGACCGGCTCGTAGGATGTACATGAATGGATTGACGGTTCGTAGGATGTTGCCAGGCGCTGCCCTTTTGCCGCTGTTTTCCGCCATTTGCTGAAGAGAAGTCGTACACTATGTACTACGGTACTGCTGAATCTATTCCTCAACATGCTGATTCGTGCTGTAGTGCGGAAGCCCGGCACAAGTCCGGTTGAGCCGGCCTGCCAGAGCAGTTGACCCACCAAAGACTACGCGACAAACTGACTCCTTGCCTGCGATTGTGACCTGTCCCGTACATCAGGGGAGCGGAGAACTGAGAATTCTATGTAGTGTGATCCTGTGTACAGTCTGCGCGAATAGACAACATTAATCTTTCTGGTTCCGTGCGAAAGGAGAGGTTTGAGCTGCGCTCTCCTTGAAGGTCGCGAGTAGCAGACATGGCGGGAGGGTGGGCCAGTTTCGATGATTGCGAACGTACAAGTTCCGGGCGACGCATCACACAAACACACCTATCTACCTGTGGGGAGCTACCGGTGTGGCCCCTCTCTCTTCGAACGTCGTTCGTGGAAGTCCTGGTAGTGGGCATTCGCCGCGACGACCAATTGGATATCTCCGGTGTGTCCAGACCTTCAGCGGAAGTTGGAGCCCAAGAGTAGGCAGAACCTCTCCCGCTTTCCGCTGGGTCGCGGGGCGCGCCTGATGCCTGATAACTGATGACAACGCCGGTCAATACAATGCCACAGCAGCAGCGCGACTTCCAAATGTTTCTTCTATAGATTCGGATCTTTTTAGTCGTTTTCCCAATAATGGTGTGTGTGTCTTGGTCTCTTGGTTCGCCGTTCTCCAACCATTTCTCCAACCATTTCGTTCCAGAATATCTGTCGTTGATGTCTATTGACTTCCGGACCCCTCGGGGCCAGTTCATTTGAGTGTACCTTGTTAGGGTAAGTTAACCTGTGACCACGGGAATCGACCGCGTCGAGTGTTGGATCAGTACGGACATACGAAGGTACTGGGTAGAGAGAGATCGGAACGGTTTTTAATGTGAAGACAACAACAACCATTTCACCAAGAGATCGGAACAACAACAACAACAACAAGAACCATTGCACCGATGTACATATTTCGGAACAAAAACCAACTATCTTGTGCAATCTTCTCTCGACCAGCCACCTACACGTTGCTGTTGCCCAAAAGACGGCAATGCGTTCTTCATCCCGCCGTGCGACTAAAACAAAGCGTTGGAGGTACATAGTTCTCGTCAGTTCTCTTTGTTCAACTGGTCGTGTTGACATAGAAAGGTTGTGGACGACGCTGCTGTACATGTGTAGACTACATACTTTTTCTTTTTTTTTGTCTTCACTTCAAATCAGCGCTCACAGCTTTAGTGCCGTTTACTCCAACCCGTGGTCACACAGAAGAGCCCCTCTCTACCCTCCCCTCCTGCGGTACTTTGCCTTCGATTTTTAATGCGAGAAGAGTTCAGCAATCTGTGTACACACGAACCAGCACTATCCACTAGGCCAGGAGCGGAAGCGAGCGGAAAACTCACTTTGCAAGCTCGCTTTACGCCGGGATTCGAACCCCTGACCTGACCTCTACAACAAGAAGGTTTGGAGGATACCAACTAGTACCACCGGGGCGACCTACACACTATACCCAATCGAAAACGAAAACTAATCGGAATGTGCAGACGATCGAACCCGGGTCAAAAATGATGAGAGAACCAACGGCGGAGGACATCATCTTGTGTGTAGATCAATTGGGGTAGACTACGCGCCCGCACGCCCGCACATACGTATTA